CACTATCCCTACTTCTAAGAAAGGAGATCAAACACACTAGCAGAAATCTCAGTATTTGACCTAGAGACACGTTAGCTGCCATATGGTGTAAGGAGGTACCTTTCTAGTGGCTCAGTTTCTGCTACAAAAATTATTAAGTTCCATGCAGTGTGGACTATGGGTATAGACTAGATGATCCAATAGGTGTTTTCCACATCTAATTTCTGTGACTTGAAAGCCTGCAGATGTAGCACTGTAGTAGTTGATCACCAGAGCCATAGGCTATGGCACTTCTAAGTTACTCTTCAAGAACAATGGGTAAAATATAGCAATGCTCCTAACCCCGTTTAAGAAGAATAGACTAAGGAATAGGTTCTTCTGCCAGACAATAGATACAGAGTTGGCATTACTCTTTGAGAAAACATAACTTTATTCTTAGTCATTTATTGCCCAATTTGAGAAGACATTGAACCTTCGAGTTTGCAAGTTCTTGGGTTTCCTTTGAAATTCTTTCTAGTAATTTCTTTTTCTGGGGAAAAAAAATCACAGGTTGGCTCTTGCTCAAAGTGCAATTCTGTTTCTTTTTTTTTGCTTTAAAAGACAAAGGTCAGTACAGAATGTTTGGTACATGCAAGTAGAATCTTTATGCCGCATTCAATTTTCTAAATCCTTGCTGTCAAGGGAAGCAGACAGGGTCTTCTTTTTGTGTGTGTGCATCTGCTGGAAATTACTACTTCATATATATATATATATATATATATGAAGTAGTAATATATAAAAATATATATGAAGTCTTGCTGTGAAAGTGGATAGGAGATAGAACCACTGCGAACTCCCATTGCTATACTCAGCATGTATCACAAAACAAAAGGGAGAGTTTTGTGTAGAGTGTTTGGAAATAACTTCTGAAATTCTGCATCTTATTTATTATTATATTTTTAAAAGCCAGCAAGTGCCAGAATTTCACAGATTTTCATGAGGGCTGTATTCAGATTTATGTAAAAATAGAACTAAGAATTGGGGTTTTTTGCATTAAGAGTCTGGAGGTACCTCTGAAATTGCATTAAAAAGTTCTGCGGACAGAGAACAAAGTGAACTGGCCTCAACAAGATAAAATTGTCAAAGGGCGGGCTGGGAATCTATGGATGAAAGATTGGGAAACCATAGAGTAGTCTAAAAGAGGTTTTTCCTCCATCAGTCAGAAAATTGATGGTTCTGATTGGCCCAGTATTGTTGAATTTCAACTTCAGTGTGTACACGATGGTTCAAGAAACATTGTTTCTCTCTGGCACAAGGCAGGGACAATCACGATTTCTGCTTCTGCACATACATTCCCCCAACCCAAGGCTCAAATTGCTCCAAATGAGGAGGGAAAGAGGTGGGACCATGGCTCAATCCACCTCAGTATCAGAACCCAGAACTGGTCAGGCTGGTCAGGCATGTTGGGGAGAGCAGGCTGCATTACTCTGAAAGGGGAAGCCTCTTACTCATAGCTATGGCTAGCACATGAAGGGTCAAATTCTAGCTTCTGCTATACCACTAATAGGGAGATGCAGAACACAGGAAAAAAATGAATTGGGTTCAGTGAAAGCCAGAGGAGTGGAGCAACTTCGAGTTGAGTTGGGAGCAGACAGAGCAGGTGTAAAGGAAGATAGAGGGACATCTTGAGGGATGGGAAGACGGAAAGGAGAAACTAAGTACACCTCTACCCCAATATAACACTCTCCTCGGGAGCCAAAAAATCTTACCGCATTATAGGTGAAACCGCGTTATATCGAACTTGCTTTGATCCACCAGAATGCGCAGCCCCGCCCCCCCCCAGAGCACTGCTTTACCGTGTTATATACAAATTTGTGTTATATTGGGTCGCGTTATATAGGGGTAGAGGTGTACTACATAAACCAGAAGAGAGGAAGGAAGCTATGGGATTAAGCATGGGGGTAGGGGAAAAGGGGGGGGACCTCCCATCTCCCAGATGCCTCTGGGAGAAAATGAGCTTTGCTTTAGAGGAGACTGTTATCCGTATAAAAAGAAAATTACTGTGTCTTTATCTTCTCTCCTCCTTGTTGCTGTTGCTTTTCCTCTCCAAACTGAACAGCAAGCCAAAGAGAATAGCTGCACCAGAATTTGAGTGGCAGAGGAATGAGAGGGTTTGGAGAGGTGAGGTGACACAGCAACCTGCATCCTCCTGGTTTTCTTTCAATCACTTCTAACATGAGCTCCTTTTGTTTTGGAGGATTTTACCCCTAGAGCTCTTTGGTGAGCTGGATCAGAACACATAAGGTGAGAGGAGAGTTCCTCCTTTTCTGACTGGCACTGAATTACTGGAAGATTATTTACAGAAGAAACCTCCAAATGATAAATCTCTCTTGAGGGTATGTCTACACTACAGGATTAATCCGAATTTAGATAATTCGAATTTGGGAAACAGGTTGTATAAATTCGATTGTGCGCGGCCACACTAAGCACATTAATTCGGTTTTTAACCACATTAATTCGGTGGTGTGCGGCCACACTACCCCATTTATTTTAATCACATTAATTCGGTGGTGTGCGGCCACACTAACCCTAATTCGAATTAACAAAATCGATTTTGACGCTACTCCGTTCGTCGAGGTGGAGTACAGAAATCGATTTAAAGCGCCCTTTAATTCGAATTAACTGGCTCTGTAGTGTGGACGGGTGAAGGGTTAATTCGGATTAACGCAGCTAAATCCGAATTAAAGTCGTAGTGTAGACCAGGCCTGAGACTCTTTTTTATTTATTTTTTAGTCCCAAATCTAGTGGAGTGGGAGAGGAGGCTGCAAAAATAAACAGGTTGGTGGGAGTGTTGTGTTCTCCCTTGTAATTTGGGAGATTAATTGGACAGTCTGTTGATATAGGCATACTGGAGGGAAGAATGTATTTGCAGACAATTTCCTTTGTACTCACTTGGCTAGAAGCTAAAATGCACCCATGGTCCTATCATTAATAAAGATGGAAGCAATAACCGATGCTCAAGAAAACTATCCAGCTGAGTCTGCCACTTTGGAAGGGCTTTAAATGACATAGTGTCAGTTACAGTTCTAACTACTTGCTTCATTAATGAGAACGTCTCCTGGCTGGCAAAATTAGAGGCAGTAGGGAATAAAACTAGACCTCAGAATCTATGATGCTTGAGCAAAGACATTAAAGACTTGATGCCAAGTGCCGCTTTCAGGTACAGCATTGTCAGCCCTCGCAACTTTAATACAACTTTCATGATATTTGGTGCTTTCCTCAAGGCCGTAATGACTAGAGTCTTAGAATTGTAAGTTTCTAGGCCTCATGGTTGTGGAGAAAATCTCAAAAAGGTAGATTCTAAGGGGAAAAAACAACAACAACAAAAACCCAGATAAAAATAACCCAACAATTATTTTGTAAAATCTCATTATTTTCAAGCCAGTCTCATGATTTTGGGGCCCTGGCTCATGATATTCAAATGCCTGAGGTTGGCAGTGCTTCAGTTGTAGCCCTGCCATTCAACTGCAGCTGGTGGAGTTGCACAGCTGGAACTGAGAGGTGAATTAGGCCCATTGAATCTAATGTGGGGATAGCTAGATTTTCAGAATGCTTCCGTTAGACTGTGCCTGGCACTGCATGGGTATGCAAAGGAGTGGAGAGGTCCCAAAATGTCTTTCTACCTCTTGCACCTCTGCCTTGGGGCTGGCCACAATCTCTGTAGGGAGCATTAGCAGTAGAGCTGGTCGGAAAACAGGAATTTTGAACTTTTTAGACCAGCTATACCATAGTCTTAAGTTAAACTCGAAGTCCCCAGCAGCTGCGGAAACCAGGATATGTTGTATTGAAGACTTAATTAAGCAACAGATTTCTACCTAGGAGATAATGCTCTTCAGAAGCTCATGGTGACTTGTGTCTATGATTTCTCAGTTCTCACAACCTGGTTTTAGAAATGGGCTCTGGACCAATTCCCTGAGATCTGTTATGTTTCTTAAAAAAATTATAAGCCTCTAAGATACTATGGTTGGCAGAGAAATAGATACTTGAAGACTTGTACTCTATATTTTTAGTGTCTTGAAGGAAAAATTATATAAACTAGAGGACACTGGCTTACACACCACACAGATAAAGAGTGAATTGTTGGATGCATTACTATGAAGTGCAGACCATGTAGTTAAATAGTCAATGGGAAGTGATATAGGGTGGGTTGCAGTAGAAAACAGATGAAGATGACTGACTTTGAATTATTTTACTCTGGTCTGATGGAAGAATGTCATATGTGTACTGGGTGAATACTGCAGTCAGTGGTAGATAATGTCAAAGTTACTTCTGCAGTGATCAAAAACAGACTAGAAAGAAATAATAAACAAGGTCCAAATGTGCAATCCGATCTGCTGGGAGGGGCAGCGGGGAAAGGAGAAGAACTCCCAGCCCTGCCCCTCTCCTACGGCAGAGCTGCTGCTGTGTCTTTCTGGTATGCCGTACCGGCTATAAATAGCTTGCTGGTATGGCGTACCAGAGCATACTGGCCTACTTGCACTGCTGCCCCTTCTGTTCTTTCTGGCTGCAACTCCTCTTGCTTCTGTTCTCACTTGCAATCTTCTGCAAGTCAACCTCCATCCTTCTGGGTTTCTGAACTCTGGCTACCTCCTTTGTCTCTTTCCTTCTTGTTGTAGGAGTAGCCACGCTTCTCTTCTTCCTTGCCCTCTAATCTGCTGTTACTGCCTGCCTCTCCCCTTCATGTTCCTCAGCTTTATTTCTCCTTTGCTAGCCAGTCTTTTCCTCTGTCTTGTTCTCATAATCACATGCTTCCACTGGCCACTTTCTGCATCCAACAGTTGGCCCTCACAGTTCTCTGGTCTGGCATGCATCTGCAAGCTTTGAGCTTTCCCTTCAGCTTCCTCTCCCCGTTCCTCCATCATCTGCTCAAATGCTGTTAGAAATCAAACCATCGTTTCTAGCTGCATCTCCAAACCTCAGATCTTCTTTTCCATCAGATCTGTCATGTGGCACTTCGTACAAACAAAGCACCGTTCAGGTACCCTCTCCAGAATAATGTGCATTCTGCAGCTTCCACATCCAGTCATCTCATTGTCTCTTCCATTCTTCAGGTCACTACCACTGCAGCCTCTGTAGCTGTCATCAGCTTCCCTCCTAAGAGCCTGTGAAAAACACAAACAGAAAAACCAAAAAGAGAAACCAGAGACACCCTTTCCAAAACTCCCACTCGCACACTCCCCTGTTTTGAGCTCTGTTTGCTGGCTCCTGTGCCCCTGGCCAGCTGTTAGGCTGCCTTTATAGGCCTGCTAATTAGGGAAACCTCACCCCATAATCAAGGCTCAGCTGTGACCAAAGGCTCTGCTTTTCTCACGACACACTGCCCCCTCCCCACTACCAGATTCTGCAAACTGAAAGCAAAGAGAAAACAAACCAGGAAGCAAATAAACAAACACTCTCAAGAACTCCCTCACTGCCCCTAAGGAACAGGGGTTTGCCTTCCTTCTTCAACGGGTCTCCACTCAAATGCCCCTCTTTTCAACTCTCTTTGCAGGCTCCTGTGCCATTGTTCCAGTCACCCAGCTTCTGCAGCAGTTCATTGTTTCCTTGCCTTTTGTATTCCTTTGAGTATTCGCTATTTTTAAATGGCTTTAATAACTTCACAGCTGAGCACCAAACACCACATACAGTATCATAATGAGGCTGGATAAATAACTATTGTATGTTGAACATCTAAACACTTTCCGTGACGGGAGTATATAGTCTGTAGCTTTGGATTTATTTTGAATCGGATGAACAAGGGAAGCCAAAGAGCAAGGTGTATATAAATCAACTAAACTAGCCACTAACTTGTAATTAATGTAAACACTATAGTTTTATAATAAATTGAATATAGAGAATGCACATGAGTAAGTGTGGCAATTACTGTTAAATCATTTGGGCAGCACCAGTATTTCAGATAAAATGTAAACTCCAATATAAATGTGCAGTACAGAAGTGCCACCAGCTAGCTACAATTCCTGTTCATGGTTGATTGGTTTTAGATATATCTGAAATGACAGAAAGTCACTGTCTTTTGGGTTAACCAGCAGAATAACGAATTACATGCCACCTTATTTTATCAGAGGGAAAAGGCATCTCTATCAGCGGGAGGGGTGGCTCAGTGGTTTGAGCGTTGGCCTGCTAAACCTAGGGTTGTGAGTTCAATCTTTGAGGGGGCCACTTAGGGATCTGGGACAAAAATCTGTCTGGGGATTGGTCCTGCTTGAGCAGGGGGTTGGACTAGATGACCTTCTGAGGTCCCTTCTAACCTTGAGATTCTACGATCTTAAAGACAGAAAGAAATTTCCAATGTATAGACAAGAAGCTACTTCATAAAAATCCCTCCCAAAATTCTATGGTTTGACATATAACATGATATATTGCAATCTGTTGAGACCTCTGGTGCCACCTATAGGTAGAATGGCCTAGATTTATGGTCTTTTGCATAACTGCAAATCAAAGAATGCTGGGAGAAGCCATTGTTTTACTGTTGTTGTTTTTTTTTAATTCAGTTGAAGTTTATGCTCTAGCAAAGAGATGATGTTATGTAGAACATTTAATTCACTGCAGGCTGCTTTTGGATTAATGTTTACTTTGATATAGGTCACCATAGCCTGCCAAGCTCTAGAAAAAAGATAATAGTATGAAATATCAAAAACAATTTATTCTGGATTTTTTGTATGTGTGATCTTGAGAGTTGGAGTGTTCACTCTTTGATATTATAAAGGCTATTAGACATGGTTCTTTTCCCAAGGGATCAATTGTCGACAGACCATCTTTATCAGCTGGATTTTTTTGGGAGTGGGTTGTGTGAGTAATATCTGTCAATAGGCAGCTATGGAAAAATTAAAAGAGAGTGTGGTCTTTTGATTAAGATACTGGATAACAGCTCAGGAGATCTGGGTTTAGTTCCTGGCTGTGCAACAGATTCCTGATGTGATCTTGGGCAAAATCACTTAGTCTCTCTGAACATCAGTTCTCTGTTTGTAAAATGGGAATAATAATAATCATACTTTCTACTATTGGTAGAATATATATCTATATCTATATATATATATGATAAAATACCATTTTTTCAACATTTTTCAATAAAAGTTTTCATTTTTTGGAAAACTTTTATTCTTTGATTTCAAAAATCAAAACCCATTTATTGAAAAAAATTAACTAAAATCAGAAATCTTTCAGCAAAAAAATTAGTTTTTGTTCCCATTTTCATTATTGAAAATGGCAAAAAGCCACAAAAATCATTTTGCTTGAAAATCCATTTTTTGTCTAAAAAATTGTTTTTGGTTATTTTTATTACACTATCTCTAGCTGAATCTCTGGAATTATCTCTTTAAAAACATTTTCATGCTGTGTTATTTGCATGGGTGGCTTCCCCTGACCTCTGGATCACTCATATTCTTAAAGATTTGTAGATCTTCCCTGCCTTGGCATCTTTCATATCCCAATTGAACTTCAAAAATCTGCAGAGCTTCCTCACTCAGGCCTTGACTCAGCAAGCTACTCAAGCTTATGCCTCTCTTTAAGCACATGAATTGACCTGGTGCCTTCAAGAGTTCAGAATAGACCCTTTCTTCAAAGGTGTTCAAAATGTCTCAAATTTTGAAATTTTGCTAAACTTTTAAATTAAAGAACAAACACATTTTCACAATTTTCACCTATTTTTTAACCAATTCTCCAAACTACAGACTGTGCTTTCTACAACACTCATCATCACATATTTATGGTGGACATATATCACCCCTGTGGTGTTGATAAGGGTGTGTGTCAGGTCCAGCAAGGGATAAGATGTTAATGAAATTATTGTTCACTGCTACACCATCAGTTAAGTGCAGTCCAAGTTTCATGTGAATTTATCACTGGCTAACAATTATCATTAAAAAATGTTTTCAAAAGGTACAGAAAAAGAAGGGGAAAACAATTAAATAATTTGAAATGTAAAATAAAGAAGTCATGCTTTCATTTTAACAGTATCCCTTATTCTCTTTCCATTTAGCTGTATAGAATATTTTATAGGGGAAACCCCTGTGTGATAATTTTTAGATGGTACTAATTATGGTAGTAACTGTCATTTTTTTGGGGGGGGGAAGAATAAGTTAATTTAGATGATCTAGAGCTGCTGTTATGAAACTCCGATCCTGTTTTCTTTCAGGCAAACGTACAAAAAGGAGAGAAAATAATGTGCTTTCTCTCTAGTGCTAACCCTTCTTAGGAACCCTCACTGCTCAAGAAACACACGCCAAGCACATGGTCTTACCCACTACGGTTACATCTACATGGTGAGCAAAATGTTATACCAATAGAATAAAAACCAGCAGGATCTTATTAAGAGGGATAAGGCAAAGATGCCACATTTATTGTAAATATAATAAAGCAAAAGATAAAAGTAAACAACGTTGTTTGACTACTTATTCCTATCACTACTTATTCCTTACACACACACACACACACACACACACACATATATATATATATATATATATATATATGCATTCACACAATCATTCATTCAAGTTCTGTATAGGTGTTATAGTTACCAGCCTAGAAGTTGCTCATGCCAAGTTACTGGCCAGGTATCTTGGTCATGAGGATGGAGCCGAGTCTGTGTCAGGTGCACCTGATGCTCCTGGAGGTTGGCAGCAGAACCAGAGACTCCAAGTCCTCAGTCTTTAGAGTCCATTCTTATAGGAATTAATTCCTATGTTAGTCTATGGGAATTGTTTCATCCTGCTGTTGCTGACTCAATCAGCAGATGGCACATTCCTGGTGGCTCCACACTGTCCAAAGTGGCACATTCCTGGTGGCTCCACACTGTCCACAGTTTGTGTTTCTCATCCTTCCAGGTGATGGGGTGGATCCCAGTTTACCTTCCGCGGGTTGTCTGGTAGTCCAGACAACATTCTTCGGCCGATGGATACTCCCTTTCTAGGCTGGCACCTCCCTAACCATTCATGTACATCAAGCATTCATCAACATACATTCCATATCTTAACCATATTTTAATTTACTGTCTCCACCACTTTCGGGGTGTGTGCTAATTCATTTGAGACTCCCGGCCCTTTAATCACAGAGGGTAGGGGTCTGTTCCTAGGAGCCGTTGCTGTTACAATGAAGTGAAAATCACTTAAGGGCTTTTAGCGTTTGTTTACATTGTATCAATTACTTCAAGAACAAAGTCAATTAACTTGTTTGTAAGTTTTACATAGTAATAAAGTATCTTTCACAGGACAGATACAATCAATGGTTTCTACAGACAGTAGCTTACAAGTTTTAACAGAAGACCCAAGAGATGTTTGTACTTGGTGAAACTGTTGGATTTTAAAGTGTGGGGGACAAATTATGGGGGGGTCACTGTCACTTGGGGGAATCACTGTTAGTACCTTCTTTAATATCCCTACAAAAACACCCATGGCAGCAAGTTTCAGAACCTGGTGCTAAATATAGCTGTGTAGGTATTCAGGGTCAGCCTGAAGTTTGGGCTCTGAAGCCTCCCCCCAAGCATCAGAGCCTGAGCCTGAACATCTATACAGCAATTTTTAGAGCCACAGCAAGAACCCTGTGAGCCCTAGTCTGTAGACCTGGGCTCTGCGACTCGCTGTGGTGGGTTTCTGCTGGCTGTATAGACATAACCTCTGAGACCTGGCAAACTTGGACCAGTGTCATGCTCTTAAGGTATTGCTTTTAGCTGCCTTCCTGATCACAGGCTCACAAAGGTACTGCAAATGATGGAGTTGTCTTGTTGAGTTAATCCAGACTCTTTTAGTCAGAAGACAAAAAACGGGGAGAGATAGAAAAGAGGAGAAATAAAGCAGGGAAGGAAAATGACACTGAGGGCAGGGGTGGAAGGAGGAACCCAGTTCTCACATTTCAGGTATTGATCGGGATTTAGCTGAAGCTTGTCGAGGTAGCAATGTCATCTGGTTCACTCATTCTGGCCCTGTCTGGTAAGACCGTCTCTTGGGGTCAGGACAATGAAGGCCCACTTTGTCAGCGTGTCAGACAATGGGGGTAGCCACCATCATGGTAAAACTTCCTCCTTCTTGCCAATGCATCCCCCTGCATCCTATTTAGTGACCCACCACCCCCAGGTGAAAAATCTCCAAGAAGGGGTGGGCTCCCATTATTATTAACCAATCTAAACACATTTAATTGATTGTAACAATCAATATTCCCTCCCATTACTGGAAACTTTCCGCGGGTTGTTATGCCAATCTGTGACTCTGCCATGAGCCTTGAGGACCTCTTATCACAGTTCATTTAACTTAAACAGTTTTCACCAGTCTATTTGTCTCCAGCTTTTGCTGACTGTTGTCAGCAATTGTATGTAATGGGCCAGCTTACACTACCTTTAATGAATGGTCTTTTATGCACGATCCCACTGCTGAAATATCTGCATGCCTAAATTTAACTTGTGATGGACAAATAAAGAAAAAAATCTTTTAAATAAAACTTTCATTTGGCTGGTATTCATTAGCCTTCTTATTTGCTTTCTGAAAATATTCATTCTTCAAGCAAATTTTTATTAACAAAAATGGCTGAGGAAAGACAAAGTGCCATGAAAACTCTTGAAAATACTGGTGCAAATGTATATTCGGGTGAGTTTTTGTTCTCAAAAGGCTTGTTCAGCCATCCAGAAATATCTATGTGAGTTTGTGATAGGAATATCATCCAATCAGAGAAGAGAAACAATGTCATGTGACCTGTGACTCGTAACACACAGTCTATATATTAAATCACACTTATCAAATACTTTCTGTGTCCAATGTGCCATCAAGCCTTAGACTAGAATTTGTTCATACAAAAGATCCATCAAAGAATTTGTGGCAAACCTCTTTTGAAAAGTGACTCTGTAATATATCATGAATAGGAAAACAGGGCTAAATGAACCTTCTACATTATTCACGGCAAGTGTTTCACCAAGATCTATGTGTAACCTGACAACCACACCACTGAAGGTAAGCAATGAGGACCACTAATTGCACCTTTCCCCTGTGAATATGTACAAAGTCATTTAGAACAGCTGCTCCCATAATTAGGATACATGGGGGAAATTACAAGTGTTCAATGGGCCTCAACTCCACACTTTTACTAGTGATAGTGTTAGAGTGCTGCAGTGTATGAAAAACATCTGGGGAAACTAATTGACTTGAGATCTGCTGAAAGTAGGCTTTTGTTCTCTTGTGCTAAATGTATTTCTTTATTATCTAGCTCTAATGGATTCAGGTTCAGAGAACACATTAAAAAAAATGTGGTAGAAGAGCATTGTATGTAAAGATCAACAAGGTCATGGTCTAAAGCCCACTGAATTCCGAGCAGGGCCGGCTCCAGGATTTCTGCCGCCCCAAGCGGCATGGGGGGGGAAAAAAAGCCAATCGGTGGCACTTCGGCGGCAGCTCAATAGCGCCGCACCATTCTTCGGTGGCAGTTGGGCGACGGGTCCTTCACTCCCCCTCTCTTCCTCTTCGGCGGCACTTCAGCGGCAGCTCAAAGAAGAAGAGAGGGACTGAGGGACCTGCCGCCGAATTCCTGCCGAAGACCCGGACGTGCCGCCACTTTCCATTGGCCACGCCAAGCACCTGCTTCTTTAGCTGGTGCCTGGAGCCAGCCCTGATTCCGAGGCAGGACAGCTACTTCGATCAATGAGCTTTGAATCAGGCCCGTAAATCACAGTCCTGCAGCCTAATAGTCCCACTGAAGTCAATTAAGTTACTCAAATTAGTAGGGGTTGCAGATACAGACCCTAACCATGCACACGATAAGGTGCTGTAGGATAGTGAATTTAGCGCTTCAATTTAACAAATCATTCCCTGTCCACACTTAAAAACAGCTAACTTGTATTTAGTGATCTAGACCAGTTCATTTCAGAGAGATGCAGGTATTTAAACATGGAGCTCTTCATAGATAAGAAATATTTTTTTTTAAAGATGTAAAGTTAGAAGTACTGTATCTGGATGATTAATAAATGATATCAGCATACATTTATGTAGTATTTAATTCCAAAGGATCCCAAAGCATTTCTCAGTTTGATTCACTAACTACACAGGCCCGGGGCTTCACTTCCTCCACCTATGAAATGCAGCCGACTCCAGCATGAAATATGATCGCTATTTCACAGTACACAGCACCAGTGCACAACAGTTTAAGGCAGGCCCTGAAAAATCCAATTGAAGGCACAGCAGGAATTTAGGTAGGGAGAATGTAATCTTCTGGAACAGCTGTAGGTCTTCCTGGCACAAGTCTAGAAGGAAGGTTTCAGCCCTTTGTGCTCATGAGCCATACCTAAGCTGTCATTTGCATCTTTATGTCCTTCCCTTTTGAGCTTCAGAGAGTCATTTTCTTTAAGAGTAAGGTGGCAACATATGCAGATGACATAACATTATGTTGCTTAGTTGTGTCTAAGGGAATTGAGAGGAACTTCAGAAGGGCCTAACAGTTATGGTTCACTGTCAAACAGCCACATTCTATCCCAGACATGGGTGCATTTCAGTAGAAAGTGAAATGACCTCTTCCCAATCATATCCATTACCGAGCTCCCAAGGTGTTGTGTGCTTTAATTGGAAAACATAATCCCAACTATACATACAAAACGATGGGGTCTAAATTAGCTGTTACCACTCAAGAAAGCGATGTTGGCGCCATGGTGGATAGTCCTCTGAAAATACCTGCTCAATGTGTAGCTGTAGTCAAAAAAAGCCTACAGAATGTTGGGAACCATTAAGAAATGGATAAATAATAAGACAGAAAATTTCATAATGCCACTATATAAATCCATCATATGCCCACACCTGGAATACTGCATGTAGTTCTTGTTGCTCCATCTCAAAAAAATGATATATTGGAATTGGAAAAGGTACAGAGAAGGGCAACAAAAATGATTAGGGATATGCGACAGCCTGCTTATGAGGAAAGATTAAAAAGCCTGAGACTTTTCAGCTTGGAAAAGAGAGGACTAAAAGGGGATATGATAGAAGTCTGTAATTTTGTGAATGGTGTGGAGAAGGTGAATAAGGAAGTGTTATTTACTCCTTCACATAACACAAGCAAAGGGGGTCACCTGATTAAATTAATAAGTAGCAGGTTAAAGCAAACAAAAGGAAGTACTTCTTCACGCAATGCATAGTAAACCTGTGGAACTGATTGCCAGGGGATGTTGTGAAAGCCAAAACTATAACGGAGTTCAAAAAAGAACTAAATAAGTTCATGGAGGATAGGTCCATCAATGGCTATTAGCCAAGATGGTCAGGGATGCAACTCTACACTCTGGATGCCAGAAGCTGGGAGTGGATGACAGGGGATGATGTATCATTCGATGATTGCCTCTTCTGTTCATTCTCTGCAGGGCCGGCTCCAGGGTTTTTGCCGCCCTAAGCGGTGCAAAAAAAAAAAAAAAAAGCCGCGATCGCGATCTGCTGCGGCAATTCGGCGGGAGGTCCTTCGCTCCTAGCGGGAGTGAGGGACCATCCGCCGAATTGCTGCCGAACAGCTGGACCTCGGGAGTGGCCCTCTCCGGAGTGGCCGCCCCAAACACCTGCTTGGCAAGCTGGTGCCTGGAGCCGGCCCTGATTCTCTGTGAAGCAAGTGGCATTGATCATGGTCAGAGACAGAATACTGGGATAGCTGGACCCTTGGTCTGACCAGTACGGTGGTTCTCATGTTCTTAACTAACATCTGCAAATCTGTCTGTGAACTTCTGTTAAAAAGTATCATGTAATATGTATCTATAAACCTGCTACTGTATTTTCCACTCCATGCATCTGATGAAGTGGGTTCTAGCCCACGAAAGCTTATTCCCAAATAAATTTGTTAGTCTCTAAGGTGCTACAAGGACTCCTCGTTATTTTTGCTGATACAGACTAACATGTCTACCACTCTGAAACCTGGCAAAGTGTCATAGTTATTT